TTATGTGTAGATCCCAGATACTGGGTCTTATTTTGAGATCCCGGATCTGATTCGCTGATCCCGTAGATGCTGGGTCGGCTGTTGTTTTGTTATGGCGTGCAGCTTTTTACTGTTTCACTTGCTGGGCGTGTCTTCGCGCGTCGCTCCTAGTGGTTGCGTGCTTGCCCGCGTTTTGCGCGCGTGGTTGCGCGCGCCCGCGCGTGTGCGTGCGTGCGTGTGCATGCGTGTTTGCGTGCGCGCGTGTGCGTGTGTGTGTGTGTGTGTGTGTGTGCGTGCGTGCGTGCGTGCGTGCGTGCGTGCGTGCGTGCGTGCGTGTGTGTGTGTGTGTGTGTGTGTGTGTGTGCGTGGATTCCGCGTGCGTGCTCGCGTTTGCGCGTGCTTGCGCTAGCGTCAAGAGTGCCCGCGCGTTCCAGCGCATAGCCCACGGGGCGCGGCCAGCCATGGGACATCCTCAGGCCAGCCAGAGAGGAGCGGCTGCGGCAGTCGGCCCCGCCCGCATCCGCTCGCGCGTCGCTGGCCACATGTATTTTGACAGGCGACAGCATCTAAGCTGTACCGCGTGTGTTCGAGTTGCGGACCAGGGGCCGCCTCAAGTAATAGTGGGCTCTTGGGCAATTTCTGCGGGGCCTGTTCGGGGCCGATCTGCGGGGCGTCTCCAGGGGGCCCTCGGGGGCCCGGGGCCGCTGATGGGGGGCATGCGGAGGACCTCTCTGGAATTGTTGGGGCCTCCATGGCGGGGGCCTGTTGGGGAGGGCCCCCCCGGGGGCCTCGCGGGCGCGCGCTGTTGGCCTCGTGGGGCGAACATCTCGCAGAGCCAGCTCGCATTCCCAATTTCGGGCCCACCTCGAGCCTTCTTAGGGCCCCCTCGGGCCATCCCGGGGGGGTTCGTGGGCCGTTTCGGGATTGGTTTGGCCGTCCCGCGGCTGCAGTGGGAGTGTATTTTTTTTTGGGGGGGGGGCTCTCGGGGCTGCGTCGGGGGCATCTCGGGCCGTCTTGGGGCGTCGGGTCAAAATCTAGCGCGTTCTGCAGGGCGGGCGGAATGGCCGGACCGCCTTAGAATATAAGCTTCAAGCGTGGCGAACTGCATGTTCACGACGCATGTGCCAACTATGAATTCCGAAAGTTGCTAGATCTAGCCGTTCGCGCGCGCTCGCTGGCAGCGGGCGAGAAATCAACCGCTGCTGTTTAAATATTTATGTATCTCTCTCGTGGCCTCCTCGACATGGGCGCCCCACTCCTCGTCGGTGTAATCATGCCTCGTGCACATCTCCCGTGGAAAGCAGCGCCGCAAGCCCTCCTCCTCCTGGTAGCGACTCAGCTTCTCTCTGTCAGACAGCTCTTCTCACGCTTTTTCTTGGGGGGGGGGGGGGCAGGCGCTACAGACTCGAATGTTCCCAGCCATCCTGCGGTGTTGGGTCATCGTTTTGAAGAACCGGCCCCCGCGTCTCCCCCCCCGCGCCCCCCCCCCCAGTGGGTTGTGCCACGTGCGTCCGCCGCGCCCAGCACGGCGCATCGTGGCCCCATAGGGAGCGCCACCTAAGGCCCCTGCGGGGAGCGCCACATGCGCCCGCCACACCTAATACGGCGCTTCGTGGCCCCATAAGGGGCTCCACGTAAGGCCCCAATGGGGTGCGCCACATGCGTCCGCCACACCCAGCACGGCGCTTCGCGGCCCCATGGGGAGCTCCACCGAAGGCCCCAGCGCGCGCCAGCCACACCCAGCACAGCGCTTCGTGGCCCCATCCGTAGGGCCCCAATGGGGGTACCGCATGCGTCCGCCACACCCAGCACAACGCTTCGCGGCCCCATAAGTCCATAGGGAGCTCCACGTAAAGCCCCAGTGGGGGTACCACATGCGCCCGCCACACCCAGCATAGCGCTGCGTGGCCCCATTGGGAGCTCCACGTAGGGCCCCAATGGGGGTATACCACATGCGTCGCCCATACCCAGTACAGCGCTTCGTGGCCCCATAGGGAGCCCCACCCAAGGCCCCAGTGGGGGTGGCCACATGCGTCCGTCACACCTAGTACAACCCTTCGTGGCCCAATAGGGAGCTCCACCGAAGGCCCCAGTGGGGGTGGCCACGTGCGTCCGCCACACCTAGTACAATGTCTGGTGGCCCCAAAAAGGGGGCTCCATCGGAGGCCCCAGTAGGGGTGGCCACACGCGTCCGCCACATGGGGTCGATGGCGCCGCGCCCATGGCCATGCCGAGCTCCATCTCCAGCAGCCCGTCCAGGCGGGTCTCTTGTCCCTTCACGGCGGAGATGGCGGGCGCCAGCCCGGCAGTCAGGTTGCCCTCTTGCTCCACGGTGCCGTGGCCGAAGTAAACCACCGTGTCCGCCTGGTCTTCCGGGCTGCGTTCCTGGGTTTGCTCGGCGCGCTTGACCTTCCCGTCGCTGGCCAGCTCCGCGCCGCCCTTCTCGATGACGGAACGCGACGTGGAGATGGTGACGCGGTGCTCCCATGTGTCGTTGCCCTACTCCGACCACCTGCGGCCGCAGCTCTTGCGCGCGCGCCTCCACTGGCCCCCGGCGGTGGAGCCCGCTGGCTCGTTCTTGTGCGCCGGCACCATGCAGCGCAACCGCTCCGTCGGTTTGAAAGGGGCCGTCCTGCAGCGTGGGCGCACGTGCACTATGTGGCTGTCCTCCCCGAGGCATTCGTGATGTCTGCCGCAGCTCCCTAACGCTCGCCCGTCATGATGACCTCGTAAACCTTCTCCAGGCTGGCGCGCGGGACCACGAGCCCATCCCTGTGTTTCGCGAGCTCCTTTCATAGCGAACTCGATGGTATTGGTCTGCTGCGTCGGCGACTCCCTTTTCCGACGAAACCAAAAAAACGATACCGCTACTCCGGGGGCGCGTTCCGACCAAGACCTCAAGGAGAATCCAACGGTGGCGGCGAAGGCCTCCCAGGAGGCCGGAACAGGGGAAAATGGCGGGAGGGCAGAGGCATCGGCTGCTTTTTTCCTCCTCTGATATTATGCTTGCGCCTCTCGTTGAGCCACCCGGAATTCAGGTTGGAGGAACCCGACCTGAGCCAGACCTCAGCGTCGTCGTGTTGCTTTTTCCCGTGCCACCTGAAGCACATGTACACGAGCGCGAGGGGTCCGGGATTCTGTTAACGAGCGTATGCGAAAACTCGCCGCCCATGGCCTTGGCGACGTGTTCGCGTGCGCCAATCGAACTGACGTTCTGGAAGAATTGCGGATATCTCACCGTCCTCATAAGCCTGAACGAAAAACGAAACACAAGATCAAACTGCACTCGTCCTCGGAGAAGTGGCACTTGGTCGGTGTGTGCGCGATGACGTAGCCGTCCGTGAACCTGGCCGCACTGTCGGCCTCCCTGACTACAAGCGTCAATCCTCGTTACCTGGCTCCGAACTCGCTCCGCACTCGGCGAAAAGGGGAACCCTGTTCGCCTGGCGGTCGGGCTCCCGCCCCGAAGGGATGCATGAACTGCTGCCGTTCGCTTTTGCCCTTCGTCTGCGGTTTTTCGCCTCGCCCCCATATGCCTTCCTCCTGCGCGCCGGCACGGCAGGCGTCAGGGAAGATTCCTTCTGCGTGTCCGCCGAGACGCGGCGTCGAGGGCACAAGCCCAAAGGCCAGCTTCAGCGCCCAACCGTTATTCTGAAAGGGCCGAGCGCCTGAGCCCAAAGGGCAACAGACGTCGGACAAGGAAGAGGATACACTTTCGTATTAGCACACGCTGCAGACATGTATATGTATAGGTATATGTATATGTATATGTATATGTATATGTGTATGTATATGTATATGTATATGTGTATGTATGTATGCATGTGTGTATAGATGTATGTAGGTATGTAAGTATGTATGTCTATATGTATATGCCTATATATACATATTCCCAAGAAGCAATATTGGGTCATACTTGCCGTCTGAGGAACTGACCCCGTATGTTGCCATGGCGGACCCGTTCCCGTTCCTCGCCACACCTGTTTTCCAAACAAGACACAAATTGTCCGCCCTGGCGACTTCGTTCCCTCCTGTCGCGGCAGCCCCATTGCACGCCGCCCACCCGCACCCCCGTTTTTATTGCAACCGCATTGCATAGCACTCGCACTGCGTGGCGTTGCAATCGCATTGCGTTGCATTGCAGCACATTGCTTTGCATTGCAATCGCACTGAATTGCTTTGCGTTGCTTTGTGCTGATTTGACTTGCTGTGCACTGCTCCTCTTTGCTTTGTATTGTTTCCCATTGCTTTGTAGTATGTCTTTGCATCGCATCACATTACTTTGCAATGCTTCGCATTGTGTTACATTGCTTTTCATTATTTGCATTGCGTTGCATTGTTTTGCGTTGCGTTGCATCGCTTTGCGTTGCCTTGCACTGCATAACTGCGCATTGCTTTGCACTGCGTTACATTTGCTTGCATTGCACAGCATCGCACTGCATTGCTTTGTCCCACATAGATTGCACTACCTAGATAGCACCACATCGATTGCACCACATTGATTGCATTTCATTGATTGCACCGCATACGTTGCAAGACATCGCTGCTTGCGATCCACGCTGGCTAACACATCTAGACATAGCATGCCTACTGTCACAACATATATTGACCAAACACAACATTGCCTTTCGTGTCTCACTGAAGCATGGCCCAGCGTAGCGCGGCACACAACAGCATGATACCAGCGCGTGCCGCGACTGACCAACCTGACAACGGATCCGAGACTGCGCCTGTCCTCGCAGAGTGGGCAAGAAGACGCTGGACAAGACTTCTTCGCCGATCCTCGAACACCAAAACACTGTTGACGTCTCGCTTCCTCTTCCGTCGCCTTCCGGTGGCTCTCGCCAGCGGACCCGCGTTGCCGTTATACTTCTGCCCCATTTCGCTGGCTTTCCGCCGAGGGCGAGGATGCCCGGAGGGCGAGACCGTTTCTGGAAAACCCTAAATTGGAGGAAAGGCGGCCGACGTGATGCTGGCGGCGCTGAAGGTCTGGGGGGGGGAAGCGGCGGCAGCAGAAGGACCTCCTCGCGGGAGCTGCGTTGGGTCTTCGACGCGGTCAACGATGTCATTGTCCTGCCAAGCCCGCGCCCGCCGATGGACTCCGCGCGCGTCTCGTCCTCGACCTCTGGGCGCCAGGGTCGGCCCCGTAGACGACGACGGCGGACGACGACGTCGTCGCCACCGCCGCCGACGACGGACGACGGATGACGACACATGTCGAAAGCGCTGGACAATCCCGCCGGTGGAATAAGGACGATGGCGAGCAACGCTAAAAGTGACTAGCCTCCTCATAGCCCTGGGAAGCAATTGTCGCCCCCCCCACCTCCGGTAAAAATGAATTACTTCCCGGCGCTGGAAATGATACCCTCGGCCGCGGCCCCATAGTTTCAAAATGTGGTTAGCGTCGCGGGCATTCGCCTTAAAGACTTGCAGCAGTTGCGCGGATGGAGGGCGGGCCTTTTTCAGAGTGCGGCTCTCGCCTCAGCGCCGCGCGCATTCGTCGAACAAGTTCGCAGCAGCTTCACGGATGGAGGGCGGGTTGGCTCTCGCTTGAGCGCCGCGCAAATTCGTCGCCAAAAAAAATTGCAGCACTTCCACGACGTACCCGGACTGGTTCGGCACGCCACCCCTCACACGCTTCGTGGCCCCAGTGAAAGCTTCACCGAAGGCCCCAGCGGCACAGTCCGCATGGAGTACCCGAGCCAGATTCGGCACACACCTCACACGCTCCGTGGCCCCATAGGAAGCTCCAGCGAAGGCCCCAGCGGCACACTCCCCATGGCGTACCCGCACCCGATTCGGCACACACCTCACACGCTCCGTGGCCCCATAAAGAACTCCACCAAAGGCCCCACCGGCACACTCTGCATGGCGTACCCGCGCCCGATCTGGCACACCCCTCACACGCTTCGTGGCCCCATAGGGAGCTCCACCGAATGCTCCAGCGGCACAGTCCGCATGGAGTACCCGCACACCCCTCACACGTTTCGTGGCTCTATACGGAGCTCTGGCGCAGACCCTGATGGCACAGTCCGCATGGTTTACCCTCACACGCTTCGTGGTCCTTGAAGGAGCTCCACCGAAGGCCCCACTGACACAATTCGCATGACGCATCCGCAAAAAATTCGGCACACCTCTCACACGTTTCGTGGCCCGATCGCGCCGTCTGCCCGAGGCCGCTGAGGCCCCTCGCCGACAGGAGCTACCAGCGAGCCCGAGCAAGGAATTCAGGGAGAGGCCAGAATTCAGGATTTGCAACTGGGCGAATCAGCCTGACAAATTAAAACAATTTTCCCATCGCTTCACGTCGAGACGTTGAGGGGGTCTCGCAGAGAGAAAAAATGTGGGAGTCTTAATGTCGAGGATGAAGGCTCGAGCGAGGAAGGCGCTATATTTGACGTTGTCCCAGGGCTGTGAGGACTCCTGCGGATTCCGCAGGATACCTGGAGGATCCCAGAGGCCTCCTCCAGATTCCTGAAAATGGCTGTGCTGTAATGCTCCCGAAAGACACCTGAGGATTTCTGCAGGTTTGCTGCCGACTCCTAAGGGATTCGTGAGGACCTCTGAAGGCTCCTCAACATGTCTTCAATAATTCTAGACGCTTCGCTTCAGGGTCGGGTGTGGTCTATCCTACTTGGCTCCTGGCGTTGCCAACAGGTCAACAGGTGTCACAGGTGGCACATTTCGGATGACTGTTGGTCGTGCGTCGCATCCGCTGGCGCCGCCTTCATTGTCCCGGTGTCACTCGCCATTGGCTGCGCACGAGCACCCTGGGTACATTTTTGGCATTGGGTGTGGTCCATCCTGCTCGGTTGCATTGCTATGTATTCACAGGTCTTGCTATGCTATGCATGGACCACGGTGCACATGATTGCTCCTGGGACGCAGGTTTACCTACCTTTGAGCGGTCATTACTTGATCTGTCGGTGTGCGACGCTTCGGCTGGCGCCTCTTCAGATTTCGCGCCATTTTGGCAGCGCGTGTCAGGTTTGGCTAATTTGGTGCTCCCTGGGTTTCCCTGGGTCACCTTGCAGCTCTGCCCTGGGTTCTGCTCTCCCTGGGATCAGCCTCGTCTCGCCGCAGTTGCTGCTTGCTGCATCCGGCGCCGCCGCGGCCGCCTAGTCGCGCGCGTTAGCCGTCGGTAATTTAGGCCGGTCGCGGCCCGACCTACTTCGCCCGCCGCTGGCGCGTTCGCCTGCGGCCGTAAAAAAAATAGCGTAACCCCACCAACCCGGCTCCGGCCACCCTGGTACCTTTTCAGCGATGGAGGTGCCGACTTTGCATTCAATTCACTTGCAGCTTGCAGTCCCTGGCCGCCGGCCACCCTGGCAGTCAGACCTCCCCTGCAGCCCGTCCCGCGCGTTTACAATTCACTCGCAGTTGCAGCCCCTGGCCGCCGGCCACCCTGGTAAGCAGCCGCCCCCGCAGCTCGATGCATGCGTGCACCCCTGGCAATACAGCTTCCCCGGCAGCCGCCGTCAGCCGCCTGCCCCCACTCGCCGGCCTGGCCGCCGAGGTGCCGCGTGAGGCTTCGGTCCGTCGGCTTTAGGTAAATTCGTCTTTGCGCGCCCCGCTCTGACTGGACTCGCCGTCGGCGCCTTCGCCTGCTGCCGCTGACTAAAAAGTACCCCCACCAACCCATCCAGAAACGATGCCCAGAGGATTTGCCTCGATCAGGGAAGTGGGCAGCACACAAAGGGTCCCCCAGTGGAAGCCTCTTGGAGCGTCTTGGGGGCCTCTTGGCGGCCCTGGGCACCCGGAGCACATGGACAGGAGATGGACGTTGGCAGTCGATGCGGAGTTCGACCCCATCAATAACCTTACCACAAGGATTCCAGAGTCCCCCTCCCACACCGGAGATGACGTCATCAAGGGGCTCGACAACGCCATCGTGAAAGCCCGGGCCTCTATGGAGAAGAACTTCGCAGACCGGATTGCGGCGCCGCTCGACCCAGAGTTCTCATGGGAAAAGCTGGGTGAGGCCATTGCAGGCAGTCTGCAGAAGCTTGTCGAGGACCCTGCTATGGGGGTCATCCTATACACAGTGTCCGGACTACACCCCCACCAATGGTCCATTGGCGCCACCCCGCGGCAGCCCGGCAAGCTCGATCGGAAGGCATGGAGCCACCTCAGGTATTGCACGGACGTCGAGCTGGGCATCGACGCGAGCAACCTTGTCTACAATCTGACGTGGGCGGCACTGGTCGGGTTCCTCGGGCTGGGCACCCCCTGGGCCACCTCGCGCCTCAAAGTCCCCTTGGCCTCGCTGCCCCCCAAGATACTGGGAAATTCAAGCGGCACCGGGTGCACCCAGGGATGCAGCACCTCCAGTCCCTGCTCCGCCCAGGCCAAGCCGACTCGGCGCTTAGGCTATCCCTTCTCAGCAGCGACGGGCTCCCCTTACATACCCCCTCGCTCAGGGTCCTCCTGGTGGCGATGATGCTCCAGCTGCGTGAGCCCCGCGCAACGCTTTGGCCGCTCCCACAGCCTGAGGCCACGGGGGACATCATCGAAGCAGCCATGGGCCTCTGCCTCCCCTGGCAGGACGTCCACAAGGAGTACAGGGCTCAGTTCGCTGCGGCCTAGGGCTTCGACCTGGGCGCCTTCGCATCCCTCCACGGGAAAATGGAGGACGCCATCAAGCACATCAGCGCTCTCGCCACCTTCGCTCACCACCACACGGTTGCGACCATCCATGGTTGCCCCAAAACGTGGTCAGGGATGCTGGAACACAAGTTCACCCTGGAAGCCCCCATGCGGGTGCTGGAAGCAATCGTCAAACCTGCTGACATCAAGTCCCTGGGCAAGGGGGGCTGCTCCATTTGCACACTGCACAAGGAGCTAGCTGGGACCGAGGCCGAACTTGGCTGCCCAGACACAATGGCAGACGTGCAATACATCGGCGGAGGAATTGCCATGTCCAACAAGCGCCTTGACGAAGACTTCCCCGCGTCCCCGGCCCCCGGCACCGTGCTCATCCCCCCCGCAGTCAACGACGGCAGGTTCCTCACCAGGCAGCAGGACGGCAGCTACGACTGCGACGGGTGCACAAACGTGGGGCTCCAAGGCGCAGCAGGTACCTGGGAGGACGACGACACGAGAGAGCTACTGGCGCAGAACCGCTCCCAAGCCTACATGCAGGGCCGAAACTGCAGGTGGCTATGCGAACAGTGCTGGATCAAGTCGCTGGAGAAGAAAGGCATCGAGGTTCCCCTGGCCGGAAACAAAGACCTCTGTGCCAAGAAGTCGCTACAGCAGCGCCTCCAGGAGCACAAGCGCAGACTGGACGAGGCTCGCTTTCGAAGGAGAGCCCGTGCCCTCCCCCCCTTGGACCGGCTACCAATCGGGCGCGGGCAGCCGACCACCGCGCTGCCCCCCACCTGCCTGGGTGACCTCGTCATGCGCACTCCGCCCGCCTATCAGCCTCAGAAGGTCGGCACCACCCTCCCAGCTCACCAGCTGTCGGACGGCAGGTTCGGGCCAGACTCGCACCGCGCGAGCACCTACACCGCCATGTGCGACACCTGCCTCCCGGGGTCGCCGCTGCTCGTGCGGGCGGCAGGCAGCCCCGCGCTCGGCTGCCTCATGTGGCGCCCGGAACCCGGTGCACCGCGCAACGAGCAGACAGGGCTCCCGCCATGGAACGCGATGCCCACGCTCTGGACACAGCAGCAATGGAATGCAGGTTGGGCCTGCAGGAGATGTCTCATCCACATCTGGAATGTGGCACCCGGTGCCCTCGACCGCATTTTGGACCTGCACTCCCCCGAGGTGTACCCCCCCCGCCCCTGCTACGCGCGCAGCAACAGCAGAAATGCAAGAGGAGAGCTACGACATCAGCGTCCACCTCTCCCGATCAGGCGTCAATGCAGCAGCGAAGGACGCCTATTCAAGGCCATTGGCCCCAACGGGCGAGTCCACCTCCAACGACATGGAGCTCAGCAGTCCAGCTGGACAAGCCGGCGGGACAATCTTGGCCCGTCGCGACAGCAACTCCGCGTTCCCCAACTCGGACCCACCAGCGCGTCCCGTCCTGCCGACCCTATCCACCTACAGGCTCGCCGGGGTGGAGTCCGACGGCCCCGTCCACGCTCTGGCGAAGTACCTACTGGAGTGGAGTCAC